AAGACAGGAGAACCTGGCTTCACATATTCTCGTGGTAGATTAGTGGGATTTGGAATGAGCAATTTAATATGCATTTAATTGTGATCCCTTTCTATTCAACCCCAAGATTCCTTAAAATATATTATTCCAAGTACTTAAAGAAAAACAACAGAAATTGAAGATCTGTTGTCCTGCTTTTAAAAAATCATTTCACATCCAGGAAAGATTTACTAAAACAGATTAATTTCTCCTAAAAATTTCATTTATAACATGTCATAAGAAGACACATGAGCCCATGTGTATTAGAAGCATGCAGTAACATCACCTTTCATAAAAAGAAAAGCTTGTCATCACAATCTTATTAGGATGTCGTGCATTGTTAAACTGGTAAAATATTTCTGTATATTCCAATTAGTGCAACCATCTACTGACACAGACATTACAGAGAAAACTATCCTCTTTAAAAAAGTCCTTTCCACTGGGAACTAATCCTTTGTTTGACAATTCAGAGAATGTTATTTAGAGATTTTAATTGCTCAGTTGATCTGTGGCTGGATCTCAATAATCAAAACAATAAAATTGTTGGTTTCTTTTTTTTTTTTTTTTTTTTTTGACAACTGTAATAAAATGCTGGTAGTATCCTGGGATAGTTAACTCAAGCTGGATTGACACTGTCAGATTCTTTTTCATATATCTTTTTTATCAGACCAAAACTCACTATTTCTTAAAAAGTGAGAAGTACATTCAAGACATTGCCATTATCAACAGATATTCCAAATATTGCTTAACATCTACCTGAAAAATCCAACCTGATTATAACAACCTAATCTGATTATCTATGAAATGGGCCTGTAATTAAAGAGGGCACGTTCTGCATGGAGCACTGGGTGTTATATGCAAACAATGAATCATGGAACACTACATAAAAAATTAATGATGTAATGTATGGTGATTAACATAGCATAATAATAAAAAAAAAAGAAAAATATTCTTCAAATCAATTAGAAAAAGCCAAACATTCCAATAAAAATGGGCAAAGCCACGGATAAATTATTTCACAAGAGAAGAAACAGAAATAGCTACTTAAATATGAGAAAAAGCCTCTACCTCATTAGTAATCAAAATGATGTAAATGCAGCCAAGGAGACACTGTTTTCCTAATCTATGAAACTGAAACAGTTTGCAAGCGCGCGCGCACACACACACACACACGCACACACACACACACACACACACACACTTTCCAGTGCCGGGGAAGGTGCAGGAAAACAGGCATGCTCACAGACTGCTGCGGGAGACTATATAATTGGTTCAACCTTTTGGAAGAACATTCTGGTAATATGTGTCAGAAGCCTTAAAAATGTGTGCATCCTTTGACCCAGCAATTCAATTTCAAGGAATTTATCCGAAGGTGATAAATATTCACATAAAATGCTCAGACAAGGATATTCATCCCAGCATTTCATATGATAAGGGAAAAAGAGGAAAACAACCTCAATGTCCAACAGTAGGAGGAAAATTAAATAAAGACGGCATATTTATACAAGTTTCTATTAACAATCATGTTCCCAGGGAAAGTTTAAAGAAATGAAAAACCGCCTGTGATACAGGAAGTGAAAACAGGCAGGTTATAAAATACTATGGCCCAAATTTTGCTTTAAAAATATATATAAATATATATATGTACATATAAATGCACTGAAAAAAGATTGGAAGACAGTACACAAAAACATTCTTGGTGGTTATCGTAAGGTGGTGGGGACTATAGGAGGTTTTTCTTTTCTGTCTTATACTTCTCTCGATTTTCAAAAAATAATTTTAATTAGCACAGATAAAATATCTTAACTTAAAACATGCTCATTGAAAAAGCAAACTCAGAAGTACTGAGCCTTAAAAATGTTACTATGATTTTCTAAATAATTTACCTTATGAAAAGTCCATGTAGATCTAAGTAAGTTTCTTTCCTTTTTTGGAGAAGAGTCTGGAGTATCTACACAACGACATATTTTACAGAAATGTGGAAATGAGGCATTTGCAAAAGTTTACAAGGGTAGAACTGGCAGTTGGGATGGTCAGGTCCCTGGCCTGAGAAAACAGTTCGTCCACTATACAATGTTAACCCACTGGACAGAATGTAGGACACCCAAAACATGAAATTTGGTGCCAAGGGAAACTGAGCATTTGGTTTGGCACAAACAACTGGCAATTAATAACAGCCGATAGGAGAAACACAAATCGGCCATGAATTTGCACTCGATTTTGATTTTAAAGTTCTATAAGGGTGGAAATGCTTATTTTAAATACTCATATTAAAAAAAAAGAGTTCTGGCAACCACCAGCTTTCCCATTCCCACCTTCTCAACCCCCAACCACACCCGGGGGCGCTTTCTGCTTCCTTTCTCAGGGACAAAGAAGCCACTGGCTTGAACTCGGGGACCACAGGCATTACTGAAAACCCAGGCCGAGCTTGACCATGAAGACCATTATGACCTTGCTGAGGTGAGATGCTTCAAAGTCTTAGGACCTCTCACTCTGAGAGTAAAAATTAATGCATCCACTTACTAAAGAGAACAGAGAGCCATCTTACTCTCTAACTTAATCTAGCTCCTGTCCATCAGCCCTGCTTCTACACTGTTTCTTTTCTACTGGATTCCATTTGGGTAAAGAGGCATCCTGACTCTTGAGAAAGCCATCTGCTCTGGTCTAGTTGCAGGATGAAGGCATGGGGGATGCAACAGGACATGTATGGGAGGAGAAAAAGAAACCGTTGGCAGGTCAACAATTATTGATGTATTGAGAAAGCACCTACTATGTGCTGGGTGCTTTCCGTTCTTTTTTGAGTGCACGATCTCATGTAATTTTGCATATCCCACAATACCAAAGTCCTTCTGTCCTCAAACCCCAGCCAGGAGCATTCTTTGTGACTGTCAACATTCAGGAATATTTCAAAACACCAAGTTTAAAGAGCTAATTCAGCCACAGGTTTCTTAATTTTTAAAACCGGGGGATGATTTAGATCCGAGGCCAACGGCAGGAGGTACAACAGCGGCCCGCTCTTTCTTCTGAGCCAGGCAGAGGGGAGCTCCTCTCAAACAGGAAGCCCATTGTGGCACCTGCAGCCTGTCTGGGAGCCGGCTGATTAACATAAGGGCGGGGGCAAAGCTAGAGCCGGGGCAAAGCTAGGGTGGGGGCAAAGGAAGATGGACAGCCTGTCTCGGAAGCAAGCCTGGCATCTTGATTTCTGGGTTTGCTTTTTGTTTCAAAGCTCCAGATTTCCCAGTTCAGATGCAGAGCAGAATCCTCTGTCCCCATCCCCCATGCAAGCCTGCCAGGACCCCCCACCCCATCTCCACACACTGCTCGCTAAGCGGCTGCGGTATAAATAACTGGAAGGAACGCTTTATGCTTGGCCACCCCTCCAGCAGGAGACAACTGGCTTTCTCAGTGGTGTTCAGCAAGCCCCACCGAGCCACCGCCGACGCCTCATTAGAACGCCAGGCACTCCTGCCAGCCCTGGGCGCTGGATGCTAGCTGCCTGTGGTCTGCATCTATAGTCATGACAGACGGCGGAGACTGTTACCTTCCGCTGAAGACCAAGTACATGATCCACTGCAGTTAATCAATAGGATAATGGAATGAATCAATAGGAAAGATTTTTAGAAGGTCTTAATTAAAGAAACACTTGCAGATACAAATGATGTCTTCAATGTATTGATAGTGCCAAGGTGAAGGGTTAAACACAAACAAAACCATCAACTTTATTTTGCCAGCATGCCTTCCACAAGAGAACAACCTAGCAGCCTCCTGGCCCCAGGGTCGGCCCATTAATCAGTCCCTTGTCAATTCCATGGCCACACTGTATGGGAAAATTAGGCTATGATCAAAAATTTTAATTACTAAACAGCAGCTCGAACAACAATGAAAAATAGACACGCGCCCCCTGTCTGGCTTTCCTTGGCGCCTAAAGTGGGAGCAGCGTTCCCCATAAAAACCAGTTCCTGCAGACAAACTCCCCGCCTGATGCAGCGCACAGAAATTAGAATAATTAAAGAAAGCCTAAATTGATGGATCCCATTTAGGCACGGGAATTCTCCAGTGAGCCTTCTACTCAAACATGTTACATCAATATTTTTGATTCCCTCGATGGTCCTGCGCTAGGTACTGGTTTAAAGAGACATCAATCTGTGATGTCAGCATTTATCTAATGAACCTTCAAAAATCAATGTCCAAGATGGCCCGTTACATGCAGGCACCCAATTTGTCCACTCTCCCAGCCTTACTGGCTAAACCCAGAACCATAACCACAGCGGACGTGGACTCGAGTGGTAGGTGGGACGGTCAGACCAGAAGAGGCTGGAATTACAGAGTCCGTTCCACCCCAGGGGGGCGGGGCGGGGAACTCATGCAATGCGCGAACAGAACAAGGAAGCCAAGATCCCCTTCTGAACTTTCCAGGGCCTCCAGGCTCGGGACATGCCCATCCTAAAACGATCTGCGTCTTCCCATCATCCCCCCTCCCAACGTACCTTTCCCTCCCGTGGTTCCCATTCCCTTTACTGTTGCTTGACAGGATTTTGGTCCCCTTCCTGACAGCTCGGGTAATTTCCTGCTTTTTGGGTTACTCGACCGGGATTCCCATTTCGCTCCACTCAATGGGAGGCCCATGCCTACTTCCCTCCTTGTTCGTGTTTATGCTCAACTCACCCTCACCCTTCTGGTAAGAGGACTCCCTGACACTGATATCTTGACACCCTAACAGGCAGAAGAGAGGGCCCAAGTTTGTTTCACTCCTTTTTGCCTCTTTAAAATAAATTGGCCTGGACTGGCTGCCACGAGGCTGAGTTATTTCAAGTGCATAACTCACGGTGACAGGTATGCCATTCACCATGCCAGGACTGGGTCTGCCTTCTGATCTCGGCTTTTATGCACGGCCGTTCTCCCTCTCTTGACCACGAGAGTCAGTCCTGAGCACAGTGTGGAGCTTGGACAGTTGTAAGATGTGTTGTGTGGGCTGAATTAGTTGTTGTACAATTCCTGTCTATCTCATTGAATACAGCTTTCAGCAGCCCCTCGTGCCAAGTTTGAGTCCAATTAAACTACAATGAAAGGTACCATGATTTCATTTGCTTGGATTGTCACATTTCAGAAGTTCAGTAGCCTGCAAAATGTTCGCTGTCTCTCATTAAGCCAGTTCCAGCAACTGTGTAAAGGCTCTAATTTAGCTGCTTTTTATGCTCTGCTTTTAGTCCTGAAGATGGCTGCCTGCAGGGAAGGATCCGACGCCACCCGAGGTCTCAGGAAGTGTTTCCGACCACACAAATGGAAAATGCTCGAGAAGAGCACAACTGGCCCTGAAACAAAACTAAGGTAATATTCTAAAGGCTCCTGTTACGTTTTCTAGCGTTGCTCTGGAAGAATTCTTGCTGGAGAAAGGCGGGGTGTGTGTGTGTGTGTGTGTGTGTGCATGCGTGCATGCATCTGTGCGTGTGCCTGTGTTTGGGGGTTTCAGAACCCTAATTAAAGACCTGTAACTTCTTTTCCTGATAGAAACATTTATTTCTCTAAAAATCCTCCCAAAAACATTCAGCCAAAATTTTGTTTAGATATGCACTTAAAAACGAATTGCCTCTAATCAAAGAGTGCTATACGCAATCAGGTTTGTCCTGGAAATCTGACATGTATTAGACACTGGATAGATCTTAATTGAGTCCCAGTTGGGCTTATGGAGGAAAAAAAAGAAAAAAATCGCAGACTGCGACTATGCTAATTCCCATTATGGCTCTGGTTTGATGAGGAAATTGCTATACAGATGCCAGCAATGCAAATTACCACTTACTGACTGCTTACTAGACGCCAGGCGGTATGTTATAAGCTTACATATACTGTGGCAGTTAAGTCTCTCAAATAACCCATTTTCCAGATGAGCAGACTGAGGTACAGAGAATGTTAAGTCGCTCGCTCGAAGTCATGGCTGGTCAAAGAAAGGACTAAGAATCAAACCCAGGTCTGTCTGACTCCAAAGCCCTCCTTCCTAACTGGTTTGCGCTTACACTTCAGTGGCAAAGCCTAGCACAATCCCCAGTGGCTTCACCAAATAAGAACTAGCAGGTGCACTGGTATGGGAGCGATGTCTGTCCTGCTTCTCTCAGAGTCAAGATTAGCACGGCACTGAGTCAGTTAATCTCCACCTCGGCTAATGCATTCACTCTGGCGGTCGGGGATCTTCTGGAGAGTTCCAATCCTTCTAGTAACCTCTCCATTTTCAAAAATAACACTTCTGAGTGGAATTTTTTTTTTTCTAACTACAAAAGAAAATTTAGAAAATGTAGAAATGCCCGAAGACAAAATAAATAACCTGCAGTCCCATCACCCAGATATAATCACTCTTGGTGCAGATTCTCTATTGCCTTTTTTTTTTTTTTGCCTATAAAACTTAGGATTCCAGTATTATTTGCTCTGTGCTTGGTGTTTTTCTCAATGAGTATGCAAATCCACCCAGACTACGTGTCATGTCCTTCCTATGGATAAAAGTGATTATAATCACTGGATTAGGCTGGCTGCCCCCTGAACGTTAAACCTCGGGTTCTTTTAAATGTGCTGCCATCTCAACTGACTCCATGGTGGCAAAACATGGAACTTTTTTTTTTTTAGGCCCAGGTGGTGAGAATGACCCCAGCTGGCTGAGAACCGAAGGTCAAAGAGGCCCTGGGTCTGGCTGAGTGTGCCAAACTCTGAATCCCAGAAGCTTAAAATATAATCAGAGTTCCTCCTACCAGCTCAGGGAACCACGGATCTCCTAGTATTCCTTAAGGGAAAAAAAAAAAAAAAAAATTACAGAAAAAGCCCAACATAAAACTAGAAGAGATCAGTTTAATGATATATGCGTAAAAAATAATCAAGATCAAAACACACTTTCATTTTCCTGGGTAATTTTTTTTTTTTGAAACATATATGGTTGATATTCTTGCTTGGAAGGTGGAAATGATACTTCAGCCTGAAGTAGTCAAGGGTTTACAGAACCAGGACTGCTGCTCTTGGCCTGGCCCCGGGAAGGGTGTGATGAACACAATCTGAAATCAATATCAGGGAACAGTTACTGCATCTCAATGTTATTTGCCGAGATGGGCCACTGGAAGAGGAGTGGGGGAAGAGAGATATATGTCAATAGCTTTCACGAAGCACTCCACAGCCATGCACAAAGGGAGGTCAAATAACTATCAGCCGACCAATCCCCATTGTAAGTAGTAAAAATGATAAAATCAATATTATTAAATAAAAAGTTAGCACTGCTATTGAACTCTCTCATGATCTTGGCAGCGCCGGGCTGAAAATGAAGGAGGCTATTTTCCAATCTCTTTAGGGGCAAATGTTTAGGATCATAAACATTTGCAAAATGTAGGGGCAGATAGATATTTCTCACATATAAACGGAGCCATGGGGACATGTGAACAATAGGGTCAGGTAACTGTCACCTCACCAGAAAACAATGATCCTTCCCACCCAGGTGAACAGATATTCTGAGGGCTGCTAAAGGCTACATCATTTAGAGCTGGACTTGGCTCTTCTGTCCTTCAGGGTGACAGGGGTCAGGCTGGCTCGGGGCTTTCCAGGAAAAGAGAAAGGTCCTATTTGCTGTCCTTTCAAATCTTAAGATTTGGAAATGCACCAGGAAAAAAAAAAAAAAATCATGGGAGAGAAAAGAAAGAAAAAGAAAAGGAAAAGGCAAAAAAAAAAAAAAAAAAAAGGGAAGAAAACAAGGGCATTTCAATAGAAGAGAACTGACCTATTCTTGTCAGCCCGGAGGACTGTGGGGAAGCTTCTCCAAGCCAAGAATGTGTTCTTTGCTGCTGGCGTTGGGTGGTTAATTGTGCAAGCCGAAGGTAGCATATAGCAGGTATTGAAAAAGATAAATTTAGACTAAAGATAGCCCAGCCAAAAATTCCTATGAAAGCAGCAAGCTCCAGTTATATCTGGAGCAGGAAGAGTGGGGGAAGAAAGGAAGAAAGAAGGATGTGTAAAGGTGAGTGACAGCCCATGGGCAAGGCCCCCTTTGCTGCTCTGACCTGCATCTAAACACAGAGCTGCTTAGCCTTTTGAACACCTAAAGTTGGCTCCCTTGTTTGCATTTCATAGAAACTACTATAGAAAGTAAACAAGAACCTTTGGTGAATTATTTAGCATACAAATAAACCAGCAAAGAAGGCTAAGTAGGCCTATATGAACTAACTGGATTGAAATATTCATCTGTAAATAACTCTCCAATCTGGTGCTTTCACGTACAAATAATACATGGAACATTAGACACAACTAGCTTCTAGGGATATTTAGGCTCACTAGAGAGCAATTTTTATGTCTACTGGCATCTGTGGGTAGTGATATGGACTGACTGTTAATATAACCAACATAAAATTTATGTGAACACTCACTAAAATCGCAACCCACTGTCAGACAGCTGGTGGCTGATGCGGAGCACATGCGGATTTTATATGCACTGCGTAAACTAACCTTTGCAATAAAGATTTAGCAGGTTTATTAGTTTAGGAAACCGCTATAATTAAGGATAATTCATAATGGCCGTTTATCCACTCTCCAGCAATAGCTAGCTTAATTTAGGCTCCATTTCTTGGAGCCATAAATAAGAGAGCTGCTATCTTCTGCACAGATGTGGCATTCAACCTGTTCATGTTGGCTGGTTTTTGCTTGTGTTTTAATCAAAACCATTAGTAGATAAGACTATAAAAAGGACAGGGTTTGAAATAAATTAGCAAGAAATGCATAGGCAAAGTTGTTTCTTTTTTTTTTTAACTACTCAAAAAAAAAAAAAAATAATAACCTCTCCCTCCAGAGGTAAAACAATTAAAAATAAATAATCCTTTTAAATGTATTAAAGGAACTTTCATTTACAAACCCGAGGAGAGAGAAAGTGACAGAGCAATAACATTAATGAAGGCCAAAGAAATATGAGTGTGACCTCTCTACAGTATCTCCATTTAACTGTGCATGTAATTAAAGCCTGACCTTTGCAAATGCAGCCCAGTCTGATGGGTGGCAGCCTTCCCCTGCCAGCCAAGCACACGCTTCGGGGATGGGAGGTTTCCACGGCGCAGGCTCCTGCCTTCAGCGTCTGCTCTGTCCCCACTGACAGGGACACCTTGCCTGTTGGTCCCTAGCAACGCCTGACACTCTTCTTCCGTACATCTGCTCCATCTCTGGGTTACAGCCTGTGCACTTTGCAAACACTCCGGGCATGAGTCAGCGAAAGGTGAGCAGTGCCCGGATGTGGGTCTAGACCAGCAGCATCTCCGTGTTGCCAACTGGGTGGGTGAGCATGCCCTAGGGGTGGGGCCCTCTGCTACGCCCTCCCTTGCCTGGTCCTGAAGAGCCGGCCAAGGGAGACCTTCCCTTCCGGAGTTTTCCCCCAGGGCACTACAGCTTGGCTGTCATAGGAATTTGGAATCCTATGAAGGGTGAGGCTCTACGGCACCTTCAGAGTAGCTTTGTTCTTGAGATTTTTCTGGACTGTGGAGTTAGTCCTGGTGTAATGGAAGGGGTGTGGGTCTAAGAGGAGGAAGGTCTGGGGTACGTTTCCCAACTGTGTCACTCCTTACCTGCTGTGTCCCCAAGAGGGCCAGTCAGCCTCACTAAGCGTCAGCCTCCCCGCTTACAAAGTGGGACATCATCACCTGTCCCACCTCGTTAGTGCACACGGACTGCTGTAAGGACTCAGGAAAACAATGCCCAGTGTCTCCCAGGACCGCAAAAGTGCTATGGTGAGTGGCAGCTCAGCCACTTGGCAGTGGGGTCTCTCCACCTCCGAGGTGCCCCATGGTAAAACCGTACCACTGCTATGTTCAAGAGAAAGAACGTGTGCAAAAGTGGTTAGTCAGCTCTAAAGAGCACGGCTGGGTAAGTTCTTTGAGCCAGGTCTCCTCCTGATCGTTTCTAAAGGTGCTTGCTGCTGGCCCACGGGCCCCAAACACACCAAAGGTCCTCGTGACCGCTCAGACCAGGGGTGGACGGTGGGGAGGACTTCGAGGAGGCGGAGGTAATACCACATGATGATGGGCCCGATGCGAAATGGGCTGGGCATATCCATCTTTTAAAATTGTATCTTATTACCAAAACAATTTTTCCATTCCTGGGAAAGTATGAAAGGTTGCTCAGTTTTCTCTGAAGAGTTCGACCTGGGGAACAAAGGGAGAGTCAACAACCAGATAAGTTAAACCCTACAGGAGAAATTTCTCTCCCGAAGTGCTCTCCTGGAGATGGTGGGTTTGGAGCTAAAACTGAGGGAGGGTATTAGCATCACGGGACACTTTTGTATTGACAAATGCTAGTACCCAGGGTCCTGACCAGAGCTGGCACACACACTGAGCAGCAGCAAAGGACAACAGAAAGAGTAACTGTGACAAGTGTTCGCACCCAGCTCTCGCTGGCTGGGGCGCCCCCTGCCATGGCCATCCGGTGAGACAGGCGGGCGGGAGGCAGACAACTTCTAAGAGCGTCTGCGCAAATCAAAGTGAGGAGATACGTTGCTGGGGCAAGACCCCTGGCTTGCATTTCATCGCAAAGGCCCTGGGAGGGAGGGTGACCTTAGCTCCCAAGTTACGAAAAACAGCCACAGAGCTCCTGTCAGCCTACTGAGTGCCAGCTATCTGGCATGGTTCTGGGCACTCCCGTGATGGCAGGTGGTTCACTCTCTTTCTTATTCACGTGCAGGCCTACGTAATCAGGCGTGCACTCAGGAGATTTATATCCCATTGCGAAAGTGATCTTGGCAAAATAAAAATCTAATGCCGGGGGTTGTAAAATCGCATCCCCGAATGAGGTAGCAAGTGGGGCCAGGCAATGGGTTGGCCCTTCCCCATTCCAGCACTCAGACTGAAAGTATTAGTCCAAAATGAGGAACATATTTATCAGGAAAATCTTTTATTCTTTCGAAATAGAGTTTCCTTTAGGAGTCAAAGTTCACAGGAACATTTACCATTCTGGTGCACAAATTGACATATTTAATAAGGCTCCTGGAAATTCAGAATTTAAATCATGGTTAGAATGATAGGGTCAAAACATGTCACACTGAGAACCTAGGGTCAAAACAAAAAATGTTTTCATTATAGCTGAGTTGCCCCAGAACAGTCTTAGCCTCCAAAAATTATAAGCTAAAACAAAGTATCTTAAAACCAACAAGCAGGGCCCAGGATTTTCTAAAGAAATACAAAGTGGCGAGGGCCCGCCTCGACAGGAGAGTAAATGCTCAAGTACATAGCCCTCAAACAGAAGTAGTAATAGTAACAGTAGTTGTAATAGTTGGAGCTACACAAAACCATTCTGGAGGAAACAGAGTTTCAGATACAAGAGTACCCCATGTTAAGTTCCCAGAAGTAAAAAGTAAGTACAATTGAGCTAGATCAAGTACATTTCCACCTATGACAAAGGCAGGTGGCCAAAGATGACAGCACAGGAATATGGCAAGAGGACTCATTCGAAGGGAGGGGGAGAAGAAGCTGGATACTGTAAGTCCTTTTTTTTTTTTTTTTAATTATTACATTAAAAACAGTCAGAACAAGGACTTGATAGACGATCCTCTGTACCCCGCATGCAGCCAGCTTATTAATGCTAACAATCCTGGTCACTGTTACAGAAAACAGATGCTTGGATATTGGTTTGCTTCCATTCCCACCTCCTGCTAAAATGCATGTAAGACACAGGACCCATCCTGTCTGAAACCTTTGGGTCCTCAATATATTTATGCTCATCCCCGGGGGCCAAAATATTCTCGGCAGGTTAAAGAAAGAAAAGAGTTTCTAAATGGCTGTGCTACATCTCGAGGCTTCTGTCCCAACCCCTGACAGTGACCCGAGGAGCTTTTACTCTCACCATTTATGCTTATTTTCACCTCAAATCTATTCCATAACTTCCCAGGAATCTCATAGGGCACAGCCAGGCATTCACGACCTAGAGAATAATGAAAACAAAGCGTATTCTGCATCTATCAACAGTGAGATTCACGACTGCGGGACGCAGTGCTGTTTGGATCTCAAACCCAAGTGGGAGACAGCAGATCCAGCCCACGGCTTGTTTTTTCCAGCGATGTCCCTCAGAATTTCTACCATTGAAGAAAAGCAGATTCCCAACCAGAAATAACAAACCTTTCCAACATAAAAGATAAATACGCGGCCCCCTGCTTCCGCCTGCCCTTTGCCTGGTGTCTCTGACACCAGAAGCTTAGCAGTAATATTTTGCTAACTATCAAAACTTGGACTCATTTCATTTGCAGATGGGGACCCCTATTGGTATGAAAAAAATCCCAGGGAAAACGGAAACGAAGCACAGTCTTCTTAACCAAATATGCCTGAACCTACCAATAAAGAGACCCAAGACCCACAATTCCAGTTCACCAAGGAAAACAGAGTTGAAATCCTTTGCTCTCACCTGCACCAGCATCCCACCCCCCTCCCAGGAAAGCCTGGCCACCCGCCCCCACCCCCAAACCAAGCTCTGCAGTTCACCCCTTCGCACCCCCTGCAGGAGCGCGCATGTGCGCGCGCACGCTTTCCTCCAGCTGCCTCTGTCACCGGGACTGCACTCCATCTCTCTGCTGACAGATCTCCGTGTTGGGCAGGATTTCCAATCCTTCATGACTATCTATTTGTCACTGCAGGTGAGTGGTGGCACTCAGCCTGATCCCCAGCCACTTTTGCAGTTACTTATCTGTCTTTATGGATTCATCCTGTGTGTCAAGCCGCCGCATAACAGCATTACTGTCAGGGTGACAAAACTGTCCCCAGAGTGCCACAAATGATTCTCTCTCCTTCTGGCTGCTAGCAGGGGAAACAGAACAGCGACACGGCCTCGCCTTCCCCATCCTTCTCGGGCCCCAGCCTGGTTCAGCACCTCCTCCCGCACGGAGGCCCGGCTCATGGGGGGCTCAGGGCAGGGCAGCCTGCAGGGGCTCCAGAAATGATAAAGAAAAAAGGGGGGCAAGGCCAGCGTGAACCGCAGCGTCTCCGGCAAGGCGCCCAAGCTCTCGCCGCCTCCTGCTCCCAGGTGAGGCGCCCAAGTGTTTAACACCTGTCACCGAGGAAGCCAGAGAGGAGGTCCCCCCTCCTCCTCGACTCCCGAGCACACATCCGGTACTCAGTGAAGGGACCCCAAGGCTGCTAAGTGCCGGCCCTGGAAATCCCAACAGCAATGGCAGAGCTTTTAACACTGTCATTTTTTTTAGAGCAGAAATACTAGCTGGAACTGACCGTCAATAATGACGGCGAGGGTACAGTGGGTGTGCCAAATGATTTTTAATCATTTTCACGAACTGACGGCTTCAAAAACACAGCAGCTCGTTTATTTCTCTTCTATTTTTAAAGGGAGCCCCCAGTTCCCTTTCCCTCCACAGGCCTCCTTCCGAATGTAATTCCAACAGCAACGTGGTGCCCGTGGCCATGTTGCTGGGGAGGAAGGTTTCTGCGTTTCCTTGATTGGCATCCCACAACAGCAGGCCCAAACTAACCCACCAAAACAAACACTGCGTTTTTATGGCCACCTGAAACTCGCTCGAGGACCCTGCAAGAAGACATGCTAGTCCTCAACCAGGGCCACCTTCTAATGCCACTCCACGGGTTCACAGATCCCTCCAAAGTCAAGGTCAGTGGCGCATAGCTCTGTTCACCAGGGCAGCCACGCCGTCTTTGGGGGCTTCAGTAAGTGTTAGAAAAACAGATCGTCAACAAGACACTCTACTCACCGGGTGGGGTCGGGGATGAAGTCTGGTTGGAAGGCTTTGCTTTCCCTTTGAAAGGTCAACCGAAATACAAGTGCACGTTTGCGGGCGCGCGCGCGCACACACACACGCACACGCACACGCACACTCTCCAGTTCAGGCGTGCCTCAAACTCCGCTTTGTTCTTACCCTGATGAGCGCTCACCGTCTGAGTTTTTTTAAATAGGTTCAATCTGATTTCTGACACTGGAAAAACAAACCTAAAAGCAATTTAGAAAACACCTGCCCGTGAAGTCAGATGGCAAAATATCTAAAGCTTCTCTCGAAATCTGTGACCTCAGAGGCTGACATGGTTTGATGGGAAATTTAATGTAATAGGCTGCGAAAGCCAAGAGGCCTGTTGTCAGCAATGAAGTCTGAAAGTTAGCAGAATTAATAACACTGTACAATGGAAGAGCCCTCAAGGGACAAGGCTGCAGAACCAGGGCAGTGGGGAAAAATGACTTTTGAAGTCATTTCACTATGACATTCTGTCATCACTGCTAAACGGAAATAAAAAATCATCCGAATCACCACATGTTTCTTTGTGTGTCCTTCCCTTATCTAATATAAAGTAATAACACCCCGCCCAGGCTGGGAATGGACCCTCGAGGGATTCCGAGAGCTCCATTTTGAATCGCTAAACGCAATAAGAATAAATGCAAGTGGGAGTCTGTTTAGCAGAGAGTGATGCCTGGTCTGTTGCCCATCGAAAGCCAATAAATCTCAATGCTTCAACAAGAGATGAAAATGGTTATCTCATCATTGCAGTGCCAGGGCGAAATTTTCTCTGAGCCGGAGTATTTTTATGGATGATTTATGTCCGGGAAGGACAGTTATTTAGCAAAATGGCAGATAATGATGAATAGAAAGTAAATATGAATAGCAGCAAGGGAGTGGCGCTTTGCTGCCACAACAGACCAAACAAAATCCCTCCATAAAGTACATGCCACAGATAATTGCCATTACACTGAAGCTAGCATCCCTCTATGACTGGAAGTGAAATACAAATGAGCCCATCTGATTTAGTAAGTGATTGCTCTTTGTTGTTCTAGAATACATGCCCCAGGGGTCTGCTAATTTTTCCTGAAAGCATATTCGGTGTCTACAGAGTAGGAGTCACGAGCCCAGGCTTTGAGCTGCCTTGGTGGGTTCAAATCCCAGCACAACTGCCCAGTTGTTAGGCCCTGGGTAGGTTCCTTCCCTATCCCAAGCCTCAGTTTCCCCACCTGTACCAGGAAGATGGCGGTAAATGACCTCTTAGGCTGGTGGTAAGGATTGAGCAAGGGACCCTGGCATAAATAGCTTAGCACGACTCTTGGCACAGAATGAACACTACGTAAGTACTCGCTATTACTATTAGCCGGCGACCAGCCACCCAGGGAACTATTGATTACTCTTTTAATTTTCTCCACGCTTCTTCATTCACAGAATCTTTCGGGTGAGCCCAGAGTTAAGGTTCAAAAGAGAGGAAGAGGCCTAAGTGGAGATTTTGCAGCCCGGTTGGGTGGAGGTCAGCATTCACCCCGCACATTTTTTCATCATTCCACCATCACTATCCTTAATTCTCAAGGCACACGGAACGGTCACATTATCAAGCTGGAAGAGATATAAGGAACAAAAGAAATTATTCATGGAGTTACAATGCAAAGAAGTCTATTTTAAAAATAAACAGAACTGAATTTTTGGAGTCTCTGAATAAAAGATAAGTTGACTGCACACAGAATGTCAAAATGGAGTGGAAGGAAGGTATTTTCCACCCCCACCCCCCGAACACTTTTTTCTGTACTGAAGCGCTACACAAAGAAAAAAAAAACTAATTATAGTTTTAAATGTCCAAAACGCCATGTCCACCAAAAGCCCGATGCTCATTAGTACTAGTAATTAACTTTACAACTGTCAACACAAACAGCACACAGGCTGACAGAGAGAGAGTAGCTCTGAGGGTGCTAATAAATCCGGAAATAACAACTTGACACACAGATGCACAAAAGGATGCAGGTGATAAAGAAATGTTGACATCAAATCTAATTATCTTCGAAACCGCCAACTACAGCGTGAGCCACACTCATGCACGGCTGTTGCCGGTGATGAGCCCCACCGGAACGGCGCTTAACCACCGCCTACAACCCCGCGTTTACAGCCCTTGTCAGGGCTGCCGAGGACAATAACAAACAGGAAATTATAAGTGCCATGACCCCTCCAAGTCAAAAATCCAGTGATGAATATGGGCTCAGCAAGGCATGGCAGATTACCCCCTCACGAGTCCTAAAGCTGGGATGATATATGACATTTTTATCAGGCACTTTCTCAGGAATGTCACCAAGAGGGAAAATAAAGGCCCTGCGTAGAGGCGCCTAGGTGAATTATGCAACTGTAATTGCCGATCATAACCTGATATGAGTTGAAATTGCTCTGTTTTCATATTGAGATAGCATAAAATTGTCGGGAAATGCAATGGCTCCTTAATGTGGGCTAGATGAGTCTAATATTCTGATCATTTTTCACTCGGCTGCAAGGTAAATCGAGCTTCCTTAACACAGCCACTGTGGCCCAGGGCAATCGAGGGGCCCAATTTTACACTTGAATTGAGCAAATATGTGTAAACTACGATTTTTCATATTTTCTGCATGCATAAGAAGATGAAACATCTTTATCATCTGTATTGTCTGGCTGAGCTTATACAAAATATTAGTTTATCTGTCCTACTTTGGTTCATTCCATAAGCGAGACACATAGATCTGAAGGACAGGCAATATCCCCCATATATAAAACAAGTCCATCTTTTATGCAGTCTCATTTCACAAGTTCTCCTATTTAAAACCACCACCACCACCACAAAAATCGACACAGTGGCAGCATACAAAGGAAGAATTTTTTTTTTTTCCAAGGGGAGGATGAGGCGAATGAAGGCGCTAAACACGACCGACTGTTCCGTCATTCTCCTGTTGGTACACAGAAGCTGGAGAAAAGCCAAATAATCTCTGGTGTCTCTGCTAGATTGTCTCCCTTTTCCCACTTAAATCAGTTACACCGGCAAGGGGACTGTATCAGCATTTTATTGCTTTCCTGCTGCGGCCTGCGGCAAATGGAAAAAGAACATGTTGGCTTTCTTCCTCCTTGGAGTCCGCCCTAAACCTGGGAGCATCCTGACAGTGTGACTGGGGCTCTCTATTGCCGGCTCCTGTGCCTTCTTGTTCCTGAGCCCCGTTCCCCCAAAGGGCAGAGGACCCAGGCCCAGCAGAGCTGCTTCTTTGTTACAAAGTGAATTTGCCCCCTCCATGACTTCTGCTTCTCCTCCGCTGGGCTTAGGCGGGCCACACAAGGCCATCCGTGTACATGGCAAGCTGTGTGTATGCTCGAGGATGAGGTCCTGGAAATGGGTCTCTTTAGTGAATCAGCCATTGTAAGGGCCGTTACAGCAGGATGCCTCTGAAGATGTGTTCCTTCCACTGTGATTTGTGACCATCGGTGTATTAGTGCTTTATTGCCTGGTGTCTTTATCCTCTCGGCATTCCTAGAAGTATTCCATTGCTAGGCCTAGGACATGACTCATCCTCTTGCCATGTTCAGCCTCAAGCCACAGTGAAATGTGCATTCATAT